GGTTCTTAATTAGTCTAGCTAATGGTGTGTCAATCTAGTTTACCTTTTCAAAGAACCAGTTTTTGCTTTCATTTATTTTCTGTATAGTTCATTTTCTTTTTCATTTATTTCTGCTTGAGTCTTTATTATTTTCCTGGCATTTTTGGAATTTTTTGTTGTTGTTTTACCAATTTCCTGAGGCATGTTAGGTTGTCCTTTTACCACCTTTCCTTCTTTTTCTTGTGCACACTATGAACTTCCTTTTTTTTGGAGAGGTTTTTGCTCTAGGGCCCGTGCACTCACCAGACAGAGACAGAGAGATAGAAAGCGAGAAATCACCCCCCAGGTGGGATGGCCATGCCACAATCCCTTCTCCTCCATTCTCCTTTTGGGATCTTGGGCATGCACGCACACGCGCCCGGCGTGAGTTTAAGCCACCGGGTTGGGGACATGAACCGCGGTCGACTACATGGGAGTCCAGAGACATAGCCATTACACTAACTGCTGGTCCTGTTATGACTGTTTTTTCAGTGTCCCATAAATTATGGAAACTTGTGTACTCATTATCATTTGTCTCCATGAATCTTTTGATTTCATTCTTAATCTCTTCAGTAGTCATGAATTCACTGAGAAGTAGGTTATTTAGCCTCCCTGTATTTGTGTATTGATGAGGAGTTTTCTTGAGATTTTTTTTTTTGAGAGGTTTTCGCTATAGGGCGCGTGCGCTCGCCAGACAGACAGAGAGAGACAGAGAGACAGAAAGCGAGAAATCACCCCCCAGAGGGGATGGTCATGCCGCAATCCCTTCTCCTCCATTCTCCTCTCGGGATCTTGGGCACGCATGCACACGCGCCCGGTGTGAGTTTTAAGCCACCGGGTCCGGGACGCGAACCGCGGTCGACTACGTGGGAATCCAGCGACATAGCCATTACGCTAACTGCTGGTTCCCAAGTTTTCTTGAGATTAATATCAAGTTTAATACTATCATGGTCAGAGAAGATGCTGGATATAGTTTCTATGCCTTTGAAACTGTTAAGGCTGGCTCTGTACCCTATCATCTGGTCAGTCTTCAAGAAAATGCCATGGAGGGCTGAGAAAAATGTGTATTTTGTGGTTTGGGGGTGGAAAGTTCTATAGATGTCTATCAAATCCATCTGGTTTATGGTATCATTTAGGTCCAAAATCTCTGCTTATTGTCTCATTGACCTGTCTAAAGGAGATAGTGGGGTGCTGAGATCACCAACAATTATGTTAGTCTATCTCTTTTAGATTTAGCAGTCTTTCATCTACATATTTGGGTGCTCCTGAGTTGAGTGCATAGATATTTATAACCGTTATATCTTCTTTGTGAATTAGCCCTTTTACTACTACATAATGCCCTTCTTTTTCACTTTTTATGGTTTTTATCTTACACCTATTTTGTCTGAAATCAGTTTTGGTCTTTTTTGGTTTCCATTTGCATGGGATACCTTTTTCCAGTCCTTCACTGTTAGTCTATGTATATCTTTATCCATGAGATGTGTTACTTGTAGGCAGCAGATGGAGGGTTTCTGATTTTTAATCCGTTCAGCCAGTTTGTGTCTTTTGATTGGAGAATTTAATCCACTAACATTCAATGTTATTATTGATATTTCCAGACTTGTCCCTATCATTAAGTTGGCCATATTCTTGGTTGTTTTTCTGTTCTCTTATTGCTGTCTCTCTTTAGTTTTCTTGGTAAAGTACTCCTATCAAAATTTCTTGAAGAGCTGGTCTAGAGTTGATAAATTCTTTCAGGTTTTGTTTATCCAAAGACGTTTTTATCTTCTTGTCCCATATAAAGGATAATCTTGCTGGGTATAGTATTCTTCGTTAAAATTGTTTTTCATTTAATACTTTGAATATATTTCCCCATTCTTTCCTTGCTTGTATTGTATCTGATAAGAGGTCCAGTGTGAGCCTGATGGATAGCCTTTGTAAGTGATTTCACATTTCTCTCTTGCCAATCTGTTTCTTGTCTTTGTCTGTAGTTTTGGCCCGTCTAACTATGATGTGTCATGGAGAGGATCTTCTTGGATTGATTCAACTTTGGGTTCTTTGTATTTCTTGGGTCTGAATGTTTGAATGCTTCTCTAGACTTGGAAAGTTTTCTTCCAGAATTTCATGGAATAGATTATCAATGAATACCCTTAGGAGTTTCTTCACCTTCTGGGATACCAATTATTTGGATATTTGGGCATTTCATGGTGTCTAAAATTTCTCGTATATTATCCTCAGTTTTCTTGGTTTTCTCAGTATTATTTATAACATTTTTCTAGGTCTGAGGTTTTGTCTTCTACTTCTAATATTCTATCTTCTGCATGGTCTAACCTGCTTTTAATACTTCTGAGGGAGGTTTTGATTTCCTGTATTACAGCCTTCATATCTAACAGTTCTGTGTGATTCTTTTTTATGGTGTCCCAATTCTTCTTTCATATTGTGGAAGCACTTCCTCATCTCTTAAAGCTCAACATCTCTTGCATCTCAGAGTTTTGTTACCATAAATATTCTAAATTCTTTTTCTGACATTTCGGTAATATCTTCTAATTTTTTTCCTACTTGGAGACGAGTTACAGTATTCCCTTGCTGGATATGTATTACTTGATTATCTTATCCTCGAGGATCTTCTCCGATTTTTAGTCATTTGGTAATGTATTCACTTTTGGCTAATTTGTTGAAGAAGGATTCTGTGACCGAGCTTTTGTGTTTCCCTTTGCTGTGAAATAATTTGGTGCTATTTTCTCCCTTCTACTGTGTCCTCCAGTGTGGGAATCACAGGAGTTTTGTGATTGGATTTTTTGCAACCAATACAGTGAGGTGCAAAGAATTCTCTAAAACTCCCAATGTTCAGATGTTTAGCTACTACGCATCTAGTCTTTTCTAGGCAGAGAGTAAGGGCTGAGTAGTAAAACAGGAAAGTAAGGTAAAAGAAAAATAAAGTAGGAAATACAAATAGGAAGAGAAAAAAAGAAAAAAAACAGAACAAAAAGAGGAGGAAAAAAAACAAATCACATTGCAAAAAAATAAAATTAAGTTAAAAATGTAAAAGGAAAACTTTTTTAAAAAGAGGGAAAAAAAAGTTAGAAAGGAAGAGAAGAACAAAAGGGAGAGAGACACTTGCCTACCTGACTAACACTGGGGTATGGAAGGGGAAGCCCTGGCTGAGAAGGTAGGCATTTCATAGTCCTGGGCCAACAGAGGCAAAGGTGGAGATGCCTCTAAAACAATGTCATTAAGTATGGCTTTCTTTTGTCTTGTTGTTTTGTTTTTTTGCCATAGGGCACAGGTGCTTACCAGAGAGGGAAAGTGAGAAATTACCCCCAGGGTGATGGTCATGCCACAGTCCCCTCCCTTCTATTCTTCGCTCTATACACACACATGCATCAGGTGTAGTTTTTCAAGGGGCCAGGTCTGGGACTTGAACCATGATCCGTCATATAGGAACCCAGTGTCTTAAGCATCCTGTCCCCTTCTGGGTCCAAGTATGGCTTTTAAATACTCCTTTTATCAGTAAAAGCATCTCTCCAAGTAGAAGAGGATCATCCAATGTTCATCTAGCTCCAAAGACCAACCCCGTGAGGTGTAGTACCACGAGTCTACACTGTGGGGACAAAATAACAAGAAAGCCATTAATATCCAAAGGGGAAGAGAAGTTGCAATGTTGAACATTACATACCCTATCTCTCTGGGGTTGGTAGAGGATACAAGATTTGCTCTCAGAAGTACCGAGATCACAGGAACACCGTTTCCCAGTAACCCCAAAAACTCCTTTCTACAAGCTTTGAGAAGAGTTTCCCATGAAAGACAACAGTGTTTAAAGCAAACTCCAAAGAGTAAATATTTTAATTTTCTTTAAGGATATTCTTAATTTTATAATATTTTAAATAGTCACACTAACAAGTTACATTTCCACAAAAATACTTGTACAGCATCAGTACTCTTAAAGTATTCACATCCATAATTACCATAATTAGGAAAATTAGAAAACTTGGCGACAACAGTCGAACACATACACAAATGTTCTTTTACTTGTGGTGAGGTAAAGTCAGTGTCTAAAATCAGTCAGGACAGAAGCCAGACTTGGTGCCCCTACTACATTCTCAATGAAAGGGCTAACAGCCCAATGTGGCCAGCAAGTTACACAACCACCACCAGACAGACCCAACTAAACCTTAGAAGCTGCCATTTCACATATAAAAAAATACACGTGGAATAGCAAAGTAAACATTTTTTGAGGGACAGGCTATTTAACCGCCTGGGGCATTACAGATGTCGCTGAGCTGACATCACATTTCCAATCTCCCCAAGCACAGCAGACAGCTCTCTGGTACTTACTAAGCCACATGCTTGAGACTAGGGGCCAACAGTTGGATAGGAGGCCAAAATGAACCTCTAGCGGCCACCAGTAAAAAAAAAAAAAAAAAAAAAAAAAAAAAAAAAAAAAAAAAATTGGACATACAAAAAAACAAATTT